ATACAAATATATATTAAATTCATATAATACTCAAATAGAGAGAATTTTTTTATGCCTCAAAGTGTACCAAGCGAAACCCGTTCTAAATGCAAATAGACCAATTTGAACCGTCTCGAGGATCAAGATGCGCTCGAGCGAACCGTTTCGAAAAATGATGTCCTGATAAACTATTTTTATGTGAATCAAAATTCATGCAAAATAATGCACGGGAATCACGTAAAAAGAAACGATAGATTATCACCGTACATGGTCGCCTTGACCTATGATAGACATATACAAGTAAAGATAAAATATTACAATAAAGAGAAAGCCATCTTTAAGAGTAAACAAAGATCACAACAAAACGAAAAAAACTACTTGAAAATACATAAGGCTATGCTCAAAGGGCGTAAAATAGCAAATTAATGGATTAAAGTTGACCCAAATATCAATGATTAAATCAATTTTCAAGCCCAAAATTTAAATCCAAGGAAGATCAACCACTCAATACCTATACATCATTATAATTTTCAAGTATATTAAGTGATCAAACCCAAATTCTCAAGAGTGAATCAAATAAAATCAAAATTAGAACAACTCTGAAGGTAAAATATATTTCTAAACTAGAATACTTGTGCTTATAAAACATAATAAATCACTCAATACTTCTACAACAATATATTATCAACTATTTGATGTGAGACTATGATTCAAAGTCATGCATATCAATTATCACTTCCCCTAAACCAAAACATTTTAATATCAAGCATCATGCACCAATAGCCCACTCTATAACATGAAACACTCGATTACATGGAGGCTTCTTAATGCGGTGAACTTAAAACTTGGCAAACATTCCAAGAACTAACATGTTCAAAAATGTCATCTCAATGAAAAATTGAAGAGAACCTATAGGGCCTAAAACAACAATTGCACATCACTCAAAGCTTGCCGTTGAATCTATATAGGTTGTGCATAAAATAACACTCAGACATTACCTCCTGTATCCATCTCCGTAGCTCCATCGGCTGCGATCCCTTTAAAAAGAACGCAGAGTTTCCTTAGGGAAGATGTCTTCTTGCCATTGTTGTCAGCCATGCCGCTTACATGAACAGTATCCTTTGGAACTTTACCCATAAGATCATAGAGGGGAAGTTGAAGATTTGATCTCGTCATTTCTTCCAGAACTGGAGGGGACTGCATGTAGATATTATTTCCACGATGTGTGATGCTTGGTTTCGACAGAAGAAGTTTAGGATGTTCTCCCACAATTTTGATGAACTGATATTATGAATTTTTATGAGGGTTAGAAAAAGTTGGTAGCACTGAAGGAGGTAAACTAGTTTGAATTCATGCAAAAAAAAGGTAAATTTACGTACAAGGCACACATTCCTATGTATTTACATATCTCACACCTAAACTTTCATATATATATTATATATACATATGTATATATATACATACATATATATATATATATATATATATATATATAGATATGTATATATATGTATGTATATGTATGCATGCATGCATGCATGCATGCATGTATATATGTATGTATGCAATATATGTATGTATATATATGTATGTATATGTATGCATGCATCCATGCATGCATGCATGTATATATGTATGTATGCATGCATGTATTACTTTGGTGCTTTAAACTTATGCATGAAAATGTGTATTTCACTTTTAAAAAGTGATAACAATGCTATTTTTTATGTGATATAAAAGATTTGAGCCTTACATGTGTAGATAAGTTAGGTGTGAGACATGTAAATACATTCGAATTGTGCTATATATGAAAATGACGGAATGACCGAGAGCAAAACAAGGTTCTAAGCTCGCAACAGATGAGCAAAGTTTTGGAAGTGCAATTCCAAAACATAGCACAAAACAATTCTTAAGGTCCTTGGATAGTGGAGAATTGGCCATGTCAAAGACAACGGCCTTGGAGATTTATTTTGGGGAAAAAGTTTGAATATTCTGATAAAAATAGTCAGGATGCTTTTTAAAATCAGTAGATTTGCTTTGAAATGAATGCAGATGAGAAATCAATCAAAATTGTATAGCATTAAAGTTAAAATAATTATAACAGCTTCGAGATCCATCTTAACAAAAAATTTGAGTATTGGCACATATACAGAGCCTTTTTTTTCTCTTTTTTAACTTCTTCAAAAAATTTTCCATTTAGCAATGTCAAACTTGTGAATCTGCAAATTTGCTGAAAGCCCATAATGGACAATCAGTGCCGTCACACTGAAATGCTCAAAAGTCAATACTTTTTTCTTTATATTTTAAAAATATCATGTGTATTATCACCTCAAAACCAATCAAAAAATAAAAGATGATTTGTTTTGAACAGAAGTGAAACCGGTAATTTCATTAGAAGCTGATCAGGCAGGGCTGCTGCCGCATCACAACTTCCAAGCTTTCTAATAGATCATAGCTAAAAGATGAACCCCTGCAGATTCATTTTTTATTTTAAAATGTTTGACGCTTATATAATTAAAATGTTACATAAGGTTTTGAAGGAAGTTTCCCACGCAAACAGAGTTTAGAGACTAAAAATTTGAGAAAATTGTCAAAATAGTTCTCTGACTCTTTGTAAGAAGTCGTCATAATCCCATAATCTATAAAGTGTCAATTTAGTCCCTATATTCTTTGAATATGGGTTAACATACTCCTCAAGGTCTAATTAAGCCCCAAATTAAATAATAGAGACTAAATTGGCACTTTTATAGACTTTTGGATTCAAATGGCCTCATATAAAAAGTCAAGGGACTATTTTGACAATTTGATCCTAAAAAAGTTCATTGTTCATCTAACTACATTACATATATAAAGATACACACAAAAATATTGAGTAAGAAAATAGAGAAGACCTGCGAAACAGTGGCTGAAGTGTTTAATTCAATGGGGGTGCCAGGACCACACACAAGGCAGTCCTTTTCCCTGACAAAATCAGTCACTTTAATATGTGTTCCTTCAACACCGTTATACCTGCATAACAGAGCATGCTTATCAGTCATTAACCAACAGCAGCAATAAAGACTGCTTGCTTAGACAATAGAAGTTTAACCAGAAGAAGACACAATTTTGTGCCAACCTTAAATTTTTGAAATATTTCAATTGCCGAAGTATACTTATAGCTGGTATCTAAGTAATACAAAATAAAAGAAGTATAGAAAATTTCTAATTCACCATATGATTAAGCAATTGCTATATCACTAGAAATAATCACTCCACAATCATTTCAAAGTCGATCAGCATATGATGCAATTAAAGAAAGAACATGGAATAGAGGGAGCTACTTCTGACCTTGGAGATGTATCGGAATCAAGAAAAAGACAAGGAAAAAGATGAATCAATAGCTAACAAAAATTCAATGCAAAATAAAGACAATCAAGATGTCAGGCTGATAGAATAAATGATCACATGATGGAGGAGATAAAAATACAAAACAGCCGTCAGCCCCAATAATCCTCCTCCCATGACAGATACAAACATGATTAAGAGTGGATGAAAAATGAGGATATGACTCACCCATAAGGGATAAAATATTCAGATTACTGAGTACAGCATTCAAAAGGAAAAAAAAAGGATATTTGCAATCCAGTAGAGAAAATAAAAATCTGATGATGAAATGAATTTACTATCCACATCAAGAACAGGGCAAATATGAGAGAAGAGGCCATCTACAGCACAAATAATAATTGGGATAATCTTATTTTGATTAAAAGTTTACTAAAAGTCCTTCTAAAGAATTCATATACCCTGTTCTATCTGCTCTATTCTCTCATTGTGGGTTATGTCGCTATGTTAAAAAGGTTGGTTACGGATCAGCCTCAGCCATGCTCATAACAACAATAATACAAGGCCATCAAATAACTTGGGTTAGCTTCCATAAAAATAAGCCCGCCAAATCCTAACTAGTATCCATGTCATTAAGCCCAAAACAATTTAAAGATCAGACCGCATGCTTTTAAAGCCTAATCTACCCATCTTGGACTAGCTCTCTGCTAATAAGTATAGTCACAATCAATCTTGAGAATAGTTTATGATGTTAGGTCGAACTTTCCATCAACATGGACCATTGTCCAGAATATAAGCCCTGCCTTCCAATGTCTACTTAAAAGAAGTAATTGCTCTGAAAAGCCTATTATATTCATTAAGGATCTGGATTTATATAGAACCTAACAACATTCTTACAAATAACCCCTAGACTTCTTCTATATTTCCTATTTACAATTAGAACCCTAAAAAAGATGCAAATCTCAACTCCCCCACAAGTCGGGCAAAAGATATTCACCAATCCCATCTTGTCACATAATCTCGAAAAATCTAATGAGCCAAGTCCTTTGGTGACGCAATCAACCACATGCTCTCCAATAGCTACATGACCTAGCTCCATTAGACCGTTATTCAGCTTTTCCTTGATGAAGAACCTATCAATCTCCACATGTTTAGTTCTATCGTGTTGATTGTTGGCTTGTTGTCGCAACATAACTTCATTTGTGTTCCTTGGTCCACCTTTAACTCTACCAACAAGACTCTCAACCACATCATCTCGACAACTCCCAATACCATGACCCTCTACTCTGCCTCTGTTGTTAAACTCGCTACTACTAATTTTTCTTGCTCTTCCAAGAGACTAAGTTGCCCAATACAAACATGAAGAATATTGATGTGGACTTCCTATCATCCGCACAACTAGCCCAATCAAAGTCATAAAAACCCTCAATGCCTACATGCCCATTCTTCCTGAAGATCAACCCTTCCCTGGAACACTCTTCAAGTACTTAAAATCTAATACATTGCATCCATATGATCATTCCTTGGATCATGCATGAAGTGGCTGACCACGCTAGCGGCAAACAACATGTCGGAACAAGTGTGACTCAGATAAATCAGACGACCAACCAGACACCGGTACCTCTCACGATCAACTAGCTTTCCTGCCACCACACTCATTTTGGCCTTCTGATCAATTTGAGAAACTGCAGGCTTGCATCCCAGCATGACTATTTCTGCAAGGAGATCCAATACATATTTTCTTTAATACAATATCATCCCCTCTGGTCTACAGGCCACCTCAATCCCAAGAACAAGTGTGACTCAGATAAATCAGACGACCAACCAGACACCGGTACCTCTCACGATCAACTAGCTTTCCTGCCACCACACTCATTTTGGCCTTCTGATCAATTTGAGAAACTGCAGGCTTGAATCCCAGCATGACTATTTCTGCAAGGAGATCCAACACATATTTTCTTTAAGACAATATCATCCCCTCTGGTCTACAGGCCACATCAATCCCAAAGAAGTATCTGAGTTGTTCAAGGTTCTTCATTTCAATTTTTTTGCCCAATCTTACCTTTAGTTGAGCAATCTCTACGACCTCCATTTTGATTAAAGAACATTATATAGTAGGCATTAATCTACTGATATTCCGTGACCACCATAGATTTTTTAAACTTGTCAAAGCAAACTCGATGAGACAGTTTCAAGCCATAATGTAACTTCTTGAGTCTGCACACCATGCCCACTGTCTGGCATCTTCATATACACCTCTTCCAGTAACCCACCATGAAGAAGCACATTCTTCACATCAAATTGGCGTAAGCTCCACCCACCATTTACTGTTATAGAACCAGTGTTCTCACTGTGCTCATCTTAGCTATTGGTGCAAAGATCTCATCATAATTAATGTCATACGTTTGACTGTACCCTTCCGCCACTAATTGTGTCTTATAATGCTCCACTTTTCCTTTTGAATTTTGTTTTACTGTGAATATCCACATGCAGCCAACTGTCCTTTTCCTCACCGATAGTGACACTATATCTCGTGTTTGGTTTTTATCGAGAGCCCCCAGCTCTTCATGCATAACCGCTTACGACTTGGGATCTTCCTTAACTACCTGCCAAGATTTGGGTATAGAGAAAATGTCCAAAGATGCAATGAATGTTCCATGTACATGTGATATCTTAGTGTATGAAACAAACTGAACAATGTCATATTCCTGCTCAAAACAATCAAAAGGATGCACCACATTGCTGTGAGAGGTCTTCCTTAAATTCACGGGGTTGGAAGTAGAAGATAGAAATCATATCACCAATGCATTCTAAATTTGAGGTGGATGGAGTGTCTCAGAAGTAGGGATAGAATGGGATAAAAGACTTGCGGGAACGAGTGGCATTATAGGCATTGTTCCCTCATTCTTATTTCTCTTCCTTTTATATACCCACAACTCCCCTTGAGCTCGAATCCCACCACCTTCAGGCTCATTTTTCTCTAGTTCCGGCTCTTCCTCAACAGATCCTTCCCACACAATATATCACCAATGCATTCTAAATTTGAGGTGGATGGAGTATCTCAGAAGTAGGGATAGAATGGGATAAGAGACTTGCGGGAACGAGTGGCATTATAGGCATTGTTCCCTCATTCTGATTTCTCTTCCTTTTATATACCCACAACTCCCCTTGAGCTTGAATCCCACCACCTTCAGGCTCATTTTTCTCTATTTCCGGCTCTTCCTCAACTGATCCTTCCCACACAACAGGAAAAAGCATCGTTCTCACATGTACTAATCTCTCACCGTCACTACTCTCCCCCTCTCACTTCATAACTTCAGTATCGGCGAGTCAATAAAGGGTGAGGTCACCTCCAAGGTGTAGTACAGTTTGAATTCTTAAATGTCATATTCATACTCACAAACAGTCTCTTCTCTATTGGGCTCCAACAAACATACTCCTTCTGGATGGCAAAATAACCCACGAAAACACACTTCACGTCTCTGGGATCCATTTTCCCTATTAAGGGTCTATTATTCTTAACAAAATACATGCAATCAAATAACTTCAATGGGAGGATACCATTATTATCTCCTTTCAACATATCACAAAAAAATTATCACTCCAACACTCCCGATGACATTTTGTTGATCAATTAAGCGGTTGTCAAAACAACTTGCCCTCACAGGTGTTTTGGGACATTTATGAAGATAATAATGTTTCAAGCTACATCTAGAAGGTGTTTATTATTTATCTCTGCTATTCTATTTTGTGTTGATGTGTATGTACATGTAATTTGATGTTGTATCCCCTAGGCCGACTGGAACTCCTCAAACGTCTTGTTCGTATACTCCGTCCCATTATTAGACTTCAATATCTTCACTACTGCACAATATTGAGTCTGAATCGCTCAATGAAAGTCTTTAACGCAAGCACACACATCACTTTTATTTCTCATTAGATATAACCAAATAACATGAGAAAAACAATAAATGAAAGTGATAAAATATCCGTAACAATTCATCGAAGTTGTAAAATAATGTCCTCATATATCTGAATGCACTAAATCAGAAACACAAGAACTATTACAAGAACTAATATAAAAGCTCCTGGTATGCTTACCAAACTCACAAGCATCACATTCAAGTTTTTGTTTATTTATCTTTTCAAGCAAAGATGAAAACAAACGACTCAAATACTAAATGAAAAGTTTCCATGCACTTATGATAGAACAGTAACACATCCTCCACACTCCTCTCAGATTCTCCTACTCCAGCACTCTTTACCATGGATGTCGAGACTGAAATCATCCCCTCTCTATTCAAGTACTAGAGTCCACTATACCACGTGTCAGTCCCAAGTCTCCAGCAAGTTTAATTCTCTTGAAAAATTGTCTTAGAAATATCAAATGAACCAACAAATTTTAATTGAAGTATAATGACACTAATGTATAAAAGCTTCACTAAAAAGGAAAGAACAAGTAAAATATTGGACAAAAGCATAGAATTAGTACAACTTATTACACCATAACCAATCACATGTTGTGTTGTACCATCAAGTGTCTGAATGTTTCTACAACTGCTAGATAAGTATAGAAAGAGAGCTCACTAGTGGTACCTATCACATGTCGAGATGCACTGGAATCAACTATCCATTCTGACGATCTTGTGATGAATATAGAGATAAGAGCATGTGTATCACGAGTACCT